TGCTTGGTCTACTGTCTCTCAAATCACTTGTGTTTTTCACTGACCTCCCTCCCTTCCCCCCAACATAATTATTTCTCAGAATTTAATCTTTAGCCCTTTCCTATCTGGGTACTTTTTTTCTGGGACAGTCTTAACTCTCATGATTTCACTATTTTTATCTCTTAGAGCTGATCTGAGCTCTAGACCAAAACACAGTTCTGACCATATCACTTTCCTGCTTAGATACCATTGATGGTTCAAATTCTTTGAGCTCTTTCCAGTTGTGTCTTCTTCTTAATTATCTGTCTCACTGACACACTGCTACCTCGATGGTTACTTGTTGACTCAGTAGCATTTTAGAGATTGTCTTTTTTCCTATAACTAACTCTACCTTTCTCCTATTAGATGTAGAGAGACAGACTGATGAGGTGAGTGGTATACAATCAATTCACGAGAGGATCCAAATTTGAAAGTGAAATGTGAAGCACAATTTTTCTCAGTGAAAAATTTTATCCTTTGAGAGGAAAAAAATTTGGAAATAGCAGTGATTCAAAGTGTCTACAGAATTTATTCGTTATTAAATAATCTTATTAGATACTATATGCAGGACACCAGGAAGAATTCAGAGCTATATATATAGCAGTGTCCATGCTCTTTGGGAATTAGTCATATACTAAAGAAGATTGAATGGTACTAATGATTTTACTATAAGGAAGAATTTCAGGTGTAGTACCACCTGCTGTGTGGTCCCTCATAGATTGAAGTAGTAATTTCTCAGGGGATGATCAAGGTAAGTTTTGTGGAGAAAGCATTAGAGCTGGATTTTGAAGAATGTACTCTTTCTGTAGGTGGTGATTAGAAGAAAATTTGGTAAGAATAGAGACTAGATCAGTTTGGCTGCAGTATAAGCAGGACTTGTTGCATCCTGTATGGTAGGTGCTCCTTAGAATTGGAGCATAGTAGCACAGAATATAGGTAAACAGCAGGATAGAAAAGTAAAAAGAAAGTCAGAGTCAGATAGTGAAGGGCCTTTGATGCTACATAAGTAAG